GGCTGCTGTTAAACAGGAATCTCCTTGTGCTAGGGCCCTTAAGTCTGGCTCAAAGGCGGGATTTCCATCCTCGGATGTCAATCAAGAGGCGGAAGTGCAGCAGGGGCGACTGGGTTGTAGTGAGACGCTTTGGGCTGTCATGATTAAGATGGTAAAAAAGTCAAATAATAAAAAGAACCAATTTTAGCAATAAAAACCTTTTCTTGCATATAAGCATATAAAGTTTCATTGTATATGCTACTAGTTATTTCACACTTTCAGAGTATATCTTTTTGCCTTTCTAAAAGAAATTGAGGTCTTAGCAGGAAAAGTTCCTGGTCCAAAAAAGAAATGACAGAGAATGTCAAAGACAGTATTAATATATAGGTATTTTGTTACATACAATGGAGTCATTACCAAATCATAGTGTCTTGGTTATTAGGGTTTCCAAGGAGCAGCTGGTGAGTTTAAACTGCCAACCTCATGGTTTGCAGTCAAGTGCTTATTCTACAGTGCCACACTCTTAGAACAGAATAATTCAAGGAAGGGATACAGTCAAAGCAAAGGAATTTTCTGTTTAATTAAAGGAGTTTATTTTAAAACCTAATTCATTAAAAAGAAAAATGCCAAATGCTAAAATGCTACTGTCTGGTGCACATTGCTACATCTAAAATAAAGTACTTTAAAACTTCATGAGTATTCAGATAGATAGCATTACAACTAAAATCATTACAAAAAAAAGAAAAACAGCAACAAACTGTACATAAAATAGCTCAATTATACCAATAAAATGAAAAGTATAATTATCAAATAAATTGTTCAGTTTTAGAAACTAGTGTTACACTTCACCAGTCTATCTTTGTTTACATTAAAACAATGCTAGTCTCAACTCTGGCTACACATCAGTCACTTTGGATCTTTTAAAAAAATATCAACGCCCAGTCTCAATCTCTGAAGATAGAAGCTGGGAGTCAATTGTTTGTTTTTTTTTTAAGTCCCTAAATGCTTCTTATGTGTAGCCAGGATTGAGAACACTATATAAAATGAATTAACTTTGAGATGATTACCATTATTATTATTATTATTTATTTCATGATTTTACTTTTCAATATGCCAGTTGTACCAGTTGCCATTGAGTCAATTCATTGTGGCCGCATGTATTACAGTGGAAAATTGAGCTCTATAGGGTTTCACAGCTGTAAACTTTCAGGTGATCGCCAGGCCTTTCTTACAATGTGTCTCTGGGTAGATTCAGACCATACTTGGATTAGTAGTTATGCCATTTGCCCTACTCCGGGACTCCTGGATATATGTAACACTCTTCATAAAAGTTACTGAGCACAAAGAAGACATTCTTCTAGGGTGTTATAACTAAAACCAACTCATATCATGGCTTTGTAATTATTTTAAACATTACACCCTGCTTTTCCACAAGAAGTAATCACTATGCTGCTGACTTCTATTACTCTATTATGACTGTTTTGGAACTTTATATTTATTATGTATTTATTACATATTACACTGACTTCTTTTACTTAATAGTTTG